GCGAAGAACAACCAGAGACGATCACGACGCGAGTACGTACCCATGGACCAGGAAGAAGAACAAGCGTGGCTAGAAGAAGCTCGCAAGGGGCGAGCTGATGTTGAGGTGCCTCCAACAGAGGGCGAAGGAGAAGAAGACGAGTCAAATGCGCCCTTTTATCGCTCCACCGAGGAGTTTTTGCGTCGCTATCCCGAGGTCGAAGCTGAGCAGTCGATGATGTACCCGCCGAAACCCCAATTTACTAACCAATATGTTGCACCTGCTATACCTGTCGCTCCTTCACGGCCACCGCCGTCAGTGCCCAGGGTTGGTTACAGCGGTGTGCATGAACGCCAAGATGTACAGCCAACCCGCAACAACGTCTACAATTCACAACCTCAATTTAGCAATCTGAGGTTGCACAGAACCGGACTGCTAAATTTTGGAGTTACGTGTTACATGAACTCGGTGGTTCAGTGTCTAAGTGGACACTTGCTGCTGTCGGACCTGTTCCTCACCGGGCGATACCAGCGCGACCTTCAACGAGACAACTGGAAAGGTACAAAAGGTATCCTTCCAGAGGCGTATGCGACGTTGCTATCGAACCTCTACAAGGGCGATGTGTCGTCGGTACGCCCTAGCACTTTCAGAGTACGTTTCAAATTATGCGCATCTTCATGGGCTGTTGCTAACTCATGACAGCGCATTTGTGGTCACTTCAACTCGCAATGGGGTATTGACGAGCAGCAAGATGCCAAGGAGTTTCTCGAATTCGTGTTGGATTACATGCACGAAGACATGAACCTGACATGGAACAAGCCACCCCTTAAACCGCTGACAGATCAAGAAGAACTGACTCGCGAACGGTTTCCACGGCAATACTCGGCCATGATCGAATGGCGGCGATACCAGCACCGCGACATGTCCGTTATCGGTGGTCTGTTCGCTGGGCAGCACGCTTCACAGCTCACATGTCAAACGTGTGGTGTAACCAGTACCACGTATGAGGCGTTTTGGAGCATTAGTGTGGAGATTCCTCGCGAGGGCCAGTGCGACCTACGCCAATGCTTAGAGTCCTACTGCGCGCCAGAACATCTAGCAGGAGACGAGCTATGGCGTTGCCCACGCTGCAAAAAAGACCGCGAGGCAGTCAAGAAGATTACCATCACTCGAGCACCGGACACACTTGTCATCCACTTCAAGCGGTTTAGCGCATCCCGTACTGAAACTGCACGCAAAGTTCGCACACCCGTCCACTTTCCACTTCAGAGGCTGGACATAGGTCCGTTTGTTGAACCACCAATGACCCCAGAGCAAGAGGCATTTGTTGCGCAGAAAGCCCGGGACGGACCTACGCAGTTGGCTGGAGTCAAGGCCGACCCCACGATGAATGGACCGTATGTCTACAACGCATACGCTGTCATCTGGCATATTGGTGCGACTCTTGGTAGTGGCCATTACATTGCTTTTGTCAAAGACAAGTCGCGAGGATGTTGGCGGTCTTTCAACGATGACAAAATTCAGGATTTTGATCCAGGCAATCTTCCAGCCAACAGTCGATTGCAGAATGAAAAGGCGTACATTGTGTTTTACGAGCGGGAGAGGGTCGCTGGTGGGGCATTTTAGCTGTGGATGTAAGCGCATTTCCAGTCAATTGACGTGTCCAATATTTTTGCGCTTTGTTTCCTAGCGATGGGGTCATTCTTCCTATGCTGTTAATATTTGGTTCACGATGCTTTTGCATACTGGGAGGAGGCATTGCATTGACGGCGCTGGAAAAAAACGCAATCTGGCTGCCACTTTACATATACCACTTTGAATACCACGCGATGACCATGACTGAATTGCATGAAGAATTTGAAGGTAGTGGTGGAGATCAGGTTGGATGAGTACCTTGGCGCTGCACTCGATTCGCGTGTTCACCTATGGCAAGGCTAGTCATCTGTAGACCCGAAGATCGGCCCGCAAGTGTGAGGAGCACCGAACTTTTTTATGGCCGATAAGATAGCAATGACTCCCCACTTCTCCATACTTATACTCCAACACTGACTCTTCCACTGCCATTGACTTTTCCACCACACTTGATACCCCTCAGAAGAATTAAATATGTCAAAGGGACGCGTCTGTCTTGCATACTCTGGTAAGTCTTCCTGATGAGCTAGCTACCCACTGTCACTACATTCAATCTCGCTTTGTTGCGAAGCACATACACTAACTTTAGTTGCTAGGCGGCCTCGACACCTCCACCATCCTCAAATGGCTCATTGGTATGCCAATTCTGCACTCGAAGCCGTGACTTGGACTAACTCTTCGGTAAAGAGGAAGGATACGAGGTCGTGTGCTTCCTAGCCAACGTTGGCCAAGACGAGCCATGGGACGAGGTTGAGAAGAAGGCGCTCAAGATTGGTGCGCTGAAGATGGTCATCCTTGACCTACAGAAGGAGTTCGTCGAGGAGCTCTGCTTCCGCGCTGTTCAGTGCAACGCTTCCTATGAGGGTCGCTACCTTCTCGGAACCTCGCTGGCTCGTCCAGTCATCGCTCGCGCACAGATCCGCGTCGCACAACAAGAAGGCTGCGGCTTCGTCTCGCACGGCTGCACAGGCAAAGGAAACGACCAGGTTCGTTTCGAGCTTGCATTCTACACACTACAGCCCTCCATCAAGGTCATTGCACCATGGAGGCTGCCAGAGTTCTGCGACCGCTTCAAGGGCAGGCAAGATCTCCTAGACTATGCTGAGAAGCACGGTATCCCTGTCACATCCACCAAGGCGAAGCCATGGAGCATGGACGCCAACCTGGCACACTGCAGTTACGAGGCTGGTAAGTCTACAAAGCTTGACTGTCAATTTGGTGTTAACAACGTGTGCAGGTATCCTCGAGGATCCAGATGTGTCTCCCCCAGATGACATGTGGACCATGACCGACTCACCTCTCAACGCACCCAACGAGCCCACTGACATCACTGTATACTTCGAGAAGGGTATCCCCGTCAAGGTCGTAACACCAGAGAAGACCTACACAGACTCTGTTGAGCTCTTCGTTGCGCTCAACAAGCTCGGCTACACCCACGGCATTGGCCGCATCGACATTGTTGAGAACCGCTTCATTGGTCTCAAGTCCCGCGGCTGCTACGACTCACCCGCCATGACTATCCTCCGCCTTGCCCATCTCGACCTCGAGGGTCTCGTCATGGACGCACAGGTCCGCAACCTCCGCGACCAATTCGTTTCCCACAACTGGAGCTACCAGCTCTACAACGGCATGTACTTCTCGCCCGAGCGCGAGTTCATCGAGAACAGCCTGCTCTTCTCCCAGCGCAGGGTCAACGGCGAGGTCAGGATGAAGCTGTACAAGGGTAACGCGTACGTGCTTGGTCGTTCAAGCAAGACAGAGAAGCTGTACTCTGAGGAGGAGGCTTCCATGGATACCCTTGACAACTTTAGCCCAATGGATACGACTGGTTTCATTGCTATCCAGAGCATCCGGTAAGTCTCGTTTTTGTTAAGATTGAAACTTTCAGCTGCTAATCCCATACTAGTTTGAAGAAGTACGGTCTTCAGAAGGCCGAAGAGGGAGCAAACATGTCCCGTGCATAGAAATCTCGACAGAGTTGGGAAAAGTCAGTGGGGAAGGGGTGTATGCTCGATGGAAACGAGCGCTTGCTAGTAGTAGCCACGCGAAAAACCACGTGTTACATGACATTACATAGCTAGCAGCCAAAAATATAAATAATGCCCAATTTGAGTCTTGAAAAGGCGTGGTATTGTCATATCTACGACCCTGGCTGGTCGGATTGCGAGCAACCCTGTTTTCTTAGCGTGTGCGCTTCCTCCCGTACTCTAGTCTTACCATGGTCCGCAACAGGGTCTGAAACCTATTTTATCACCCCCCCCCCCCCATTTGAATGATTGAACTTTGGATCCTACAGCCTCACTAGAACACCCACGTTTTTTTTTCGCCCCGTTAATTTGGGATTGGAGTACCATCAGTACGGTATCCTTTCCCATGGTAATTAATTAACCCTGGTATCTACATCCTTAATTTCTGGGCAAGATGGGAGTGGAACATTTCTTGTACACGGAGGGGTCCCAGGAACTGGAACATCCCTGAACTCATGCCTTGTATTATTATTATTATTATTTTTGTTACTTCATTGACCTTTTTGCTACTGTGTTGAAACATTGTAGACTGGGATGATGATGTAAAACTTTGGTATTTGAGAGAGATTGTGGAATGTGGTATTTAATCCGGGGTATTGGAGATGGGTTAGTTTGGGTAGTGTACTCGTGTTCTTGTGATTTTGAGTCAAGTGGATGGATGGAAGGTATCTGGGCGTTTTTACAAGGAATGAGGTTTTGGAGGGTGTTTCGGATGGCGTTTACGGCGGCGAGAAGGGGTTTTTTTTTGTAAGGATGTGGTGCGTTTAGTGTCAGAGTTTCTTGATAGGGAAATAGGGGAGGGAGAGATACTTGAATATGGGTTTGGAATGTAAAATTCATGGAGTGAATAACTTGGGTTGGCGTCTTGCTCTTATAGACTTGTTCTTTCTCAGAAGGTTGATTCATATACCGATATTTGCCTGTCTCGAACTTCCATTATGAAAATTTAGGGGTTCATTATATTCACAGGAACACATGCGCATGAAATAAGCTATGCATTCAAAAACAATGAGACGGGCAATGTGGGACGTCATTCTGTGCGAAGAGCAGACAAACACGCCCCCATGATTTAAATCTTCTCCATATGCGTGGGGACTGACGGGTCGAGCACTAAGCGCAGCGTATTGAACGTCCTTTGATTAGAGGAGTGGCGTATCCTTTGGACACATGGTAGGAGAAAGCGCGTGCTGGTATTTCGTAACAATAATTCAATTCTATAGAATGACGGTCAACCATGGTTGTAGAGAAGAAAAGCCTGTAACTGCTCGTGCGCTCCATTACGTAGTGGTCTTGTTGAGAATAGGAGGCGGTGACCACGAGGAGACTAGCCGATGTAGATTGGGTTGTAGTGATGCTGTATCAATGGTCACAATTATCTGGTACAGTTCACGATGTTCCAGGCGCGGGTTGCTGCTTTTTTTCCGCTATGCCGTCTGTTCAGTGCAGGCGCGGAGAGATTTGGGAGTTGCAGGCCGGTTTCCAAAATTCAAACCTAGAAGCAACGTTAGATGGTGCAAAAGAGCCTTGGAGCTGGTGAGGAAGGCTCCTGGTGATACATCCTATATAGACTCGCCAGTCTTTCCTACCAAGTCTTCGGTTTACAATCTCTTTTGCAATGTACTCCGACGATGCTCAGACACATCGAAACTCATGGCTGTTCGGTAGCGACGGATATAACAAAGCGCACCACGGTTGTAGTTTTTGCCTCGTTCTCAACCAAGAAGGCTTCGAGTCCAATCAGAGGTGCCTTTTGGGAGAAGGGTTGGTAGTTATTTTTCATTCTTCTCGGAGGAATCATTCTTGCCTTCATCTTCACCACATAGCACCAGGCAATGGAGGGCACTACACCAAACCCCAACTCGAAGCGACCATTTGCCCACGACCAGAATGACGTTCGGAGGTCGCAGCGGCATGAAAGATCATCTGGTGACCCCCTACCAGAAACACCATCTTGTGTAAGTCATCTTGCCGGCGTTGGAAACTCTTTGTTACACCCGTTTTTATCATACAGTGTATTATTCCAGGCTCAGAAACTGATTTCGTCGCAGACGGCAGAGATTCCAGACCGTAACATTGATAAACTCAAGAATATACGACGCCGTAGAGGTGATGAGCGCTCGAAGGCCAGTATCCAAAGCAACACAGCCTCAGTTCCTCGTCACCAGCCATATGGTCGACATAGAATCAGAACGAAACTGCGGCAGTTAGTTCCAGCTAGTTCGGCGCCAAACTCCTCGGTCTTGGAGAATCAGCAGCAAGAGTATGAACGCCAGATACTGCTTAGCAGTCGCTCTAAGAGAACCGCAAGTCGGGTTGATGGTGCCTTTGCTTTTTTAGCGCAAACTCCTTTGCCTTGTAGTGCTGGCCAGCCGTCCTCGAGCCATCATCAGAGCTACATGTTACCAATGGATCCAGGACGAAGACACCCGTTTCAGCAACATGATGTGTCTTACGGGAACATGCCCGCTGGAAGTGGAGATAGTAGGCTGTCACAACCACGTGCTGTTACAGGGTTCAATGTGGCTCCAGCACCACCGCCGGCCAGCTTTTCACAGCCGCTTTTAGCAGCAGGGACTTACCATCAGGGGAATACATGTGGTAATTTGACCACATGGCAGCAAGGTCAGCCGCGAGATCCAAGTACCTTGGCTGGTTTTTCTCATCCAGGAGACCAGAGTCCTCGACTAATGGTCCCGCCACGACCTTACCGACCAACCGTTGCGGATAGGTATCCAGCGATGCTTTCGACAGGGCTATCGGTGCATGCGGCGAGTCCAACGAATGGACTGTCGCCAGGTAGCTATTATGGCCAACACCAGCTGCTTCCAACACAGTTCGGCATGGCTACCGTCCCAGGCATGGGTACTGGGCAACCACAACAACCGACTGGATATTCAGCAGTGCCTGCAAGCGTTCCAGCAGGCAACTACAGTGGTTTCGCGCCTCGAGATAGTACATATTCCAATGTCTTGAAGTTGGATCCTACAAACCCATATCTCTTGGATCCAGAAGCAGTCGGACGGGAAATGAGATTATACCCGACTGAAGGGACAGGCGAGAATGGAAACGAGGGTCTAGACAAGTTTGGTAATCTCTAGCAGAGCGGAATCAGATTTTGAAAGTCCCTTTTTTTTTGGTTCGGCACAGAATTCTTGGGCACCCCCGAGAGATTCGGGATGCAGATTATCATTCATTCACCTGGGGGGTATTTTTTCTCTTCTTTTCTTTTCAAAAGTTTTCGATTGAGATTCATCAGTACCAATTTGGGAGTTGAAGAGGCTGACTAATCGGTGGTGTAACACTTGCTGTCTTTTATGTATTGGTTGGAGTATTCACTCCTCTAATCGGTCCTTGGAATCCGGAATCTTCCTTGATTAGTATTCTTTTACTGGTAGTATCATTTTAATTAGTACCCCCCATAGTAATGAAATGAGAAGAAAAAAAGTGTGTGTTTGATTTGTCAAGCAGGGACGAGTAAAGAGGGCAACACTGGACCAAGTGATGCACAGTACAGCATGATTTCTTGAGAAGACAAATCCATCTGAGGAATCGCCCTAGCAGATGATATTTCCAAAAAATAGGAACGCACCTTTTTTTTCTGGTTCAAGTCCAAATCGTTAAATTCGTCCAGTATCTTACACATTGACGTCTCAAACGCCACCTCCCCATCCTAGTACTGCATAGGCTATCAAGCCAAGCAGTGCATCCCATGATAATGCTTTGATAGCATAACCACCATCTCCAAGCGACCCCAAAACTCCACCATAACTTAATTCTTTTCTCATCGTTGCTACACTGGCAACTGCAAATCCACCAGAGACGGTGATGCACTTGACTACATCCGCATCCCTAAGACTCATGATGGCGGAGTGGGGGAGAAGTAATATTGCTCTTGTGAGCAGTAGAAGAACCATAAATATGGAATTTGATCGTAGAGCTGGGAGAGCCAGGAGGGAGGCATTGAGTAAGATATTAGGAATCTGCAACGATGCTATTGGGCTGCGACGTCTTGGCGCAGACTTGGGCTTTGTGGGCTCTTTTGAAGTTTCTGCTGGCGCAATGTCCGGAGATGAAAGGTGAAGTTGAATGATGAAAAGCAATACTGTAAAGGATATCGGGAGAATTTGGCTCAACAAGGTGTAATTGCGCACCATTGATGCGTCGTATTTGCGTTCTCTCGCTGCAAATGTATTAGCAAACTCACGCGCTCTAGTGAGGCAGAAAAGACTTACCTTTCTGGGCCATGTAGATATTCCAGAACCATGTTGCGAGAATGGCAGCTTCAGTCCACGCGGCATTGGGCGCGTTCTTGACCAGATCCTGCGCGAAATCCTGGAAAAGCGTCGACTCCAACATCCATCTCTTTAGCTGCTCTATCGTGACATCGCTCGGATTCTGGCTCCTCTTTGCACTCCAATCTAGGAAGTGGGTAATCAAAAACATGAGCATGTTGTAGGATAAAGTCGCAAAGCTCAGGGAAGCTAGAAAGGCGTAGATTTTGATGTGACGCACCCGCGCCGTTCGGGCTGCATCGAGTTTTTCATCTTTCTTCGAGGTAGGTCGGTTAAATATGGCAGCATACTGAGAATATAGGGACCAAGTGATTGCGAAGGTGGCATATAATGCAGCGACAATGTATGAGAGAAAGAGTGTGGTGCCAATGTAGTTGTTTGGTGGTGTGGTGTAGTACACCAGCGCGTCGTATCCTGGAATACTCATGGTGGTATCAATAACAAAGTCAATTACAACATGCCAGGATAATGAAAAGAGATATATGGCAACAAAAGAAAGGCGTATTCTTTGGGACAGATCTAAGGTTTCAGAGTAGGTGATGATGGCTGACGTCATGACACAATTGTTGTCTGAGAACACGGGTGATGAGACACTTCGGCTGCTCTTTCCCTTCCGCTCGAGAACGCGACAGTGAGACGTGACATGTCAACGACATATACAAACCGTGATACTTCTTCATCGCCTCAGGAGAACTTAGTCGGCGACAAGCGCCAAATCACGTGGTGGCTGTGTGCTTGCGAGCGCATTGAATGCCATGACGGCGGTACTACGGTCTGAGGATTGTCGGTCCATCTACGAAGCATGCAATTCGTTTCACACAACTCGGTGGCCGATTGACATAGACCTTGGGTCATGTCGCTTCTGGAGGGAGCAATTCAACCGTAAGCATTCTCTAACACAATCAGAAATGGCGTAAGTAGCAATTGACTGGACGCACGATACACTTTGGGTTTTTTGCCAAAACAATGGCTTATTGACATGTGATATGTAAGGCCCTGAAAATGATTGGAAATGACTCATTTTACTAAAAGGGATTCAATTGATCCAGCTAGCGCGGAAGAAGATAGATAAACGACGTAAATACCGGTGAAGCTTGGGGAACACGACGTTGAGTAGAGGACCTGACTCACTAGTAGCCCGCTCTATCAACCCCAGCACCTTTTGGCCCCGGCTCATCTCGTGACTCATCAACTCGTACCCTTATGCCTCAACGGAGTGCACGAATCACGTGCCTTCAATACTAAGGCAAGAGAGATGGTTGCTCCAACTGCAATTGCGTTTTTCGGTAATGTTGCCAAGACGTACCAGGCAGCCACCATCACACGTATGCATATATAGTGAAGAGTTTCCAACCATCTCTTCAACTCACATCACATTTCAAACTCTCACACACATACACGGCGCAACCAATGATGCAAGCCAACATAGGGAGGCACCTATGCGGGTGCTACATATTCAACTCGGAGACCTGCAAACGTAGCTACTTACCGCAGGTCAATATGGACGCCCACACAACAATCTTGTCAATGGCCTCTCGCACAGTACTGACGCAAACTTTTTTCAATGGCTCCGAAAACGCGTTGGATGAGATAAGGTACTTTCTTTATTATGCCCCAAAAGCGCTTGAGTTACCCTAGGACTAAATTTCGCCATGCAGGTATGCTTTTCCGTTGTACGACGGCGTCAGCGTCGTCGATTTCTACTGCCAAGTCGGAAAACGCACAATTTATGGTCTAGTCAAAGAAAAGAACGATGCCAAAAAGACCTACGAAGAGGCCAAGGAACGAGGTGAAAGCGCTGCGTTGCTGGAACAGCTACCTAATGCCGCCGATGTCTTTACAACTACAATTGGCAATATTCCCTCTAATGCAACAGTGAAAATCACTATCAAATATGTGCAGGAGCTCAAGCATGATGCCCAAGTCGATGGCCTGCGCTTTACCATGCCAACATCGATTGCTCCGCGCTACTACAAAGGTTACTCCGGAGGTTATGCTTCAGAACTACAAGAATCACTAAAACAAATACCTTCTAAAGAAATTTCAATCACCGTGGATATCAGCATGCCTGAGGGTGTCCCGATCAAAAAGATTGTTTCTCCCTCCCACCCTATCCAAGTCACACTTGGTTCACTATCCAGCAGTGCCATTGATGAGAATCAGTCACTTTCTCAAGGTTCAGCCACTCTTGCTCTAGGTACGACGGGACTTGAGAATGATTTTATCCTTCAAGTGGTTGCAAAGGACATCGGTGTTCCTCAAGCAATTTTAGAGCAACACCCAACGTCGCCAAATCAACGCGCTTTGATGACTACCTTGGTACCAAAGTTCAATCTCAAGTCGCAGAAACCAGAAATCATTCTCATTGCAGATCGTTCGGGTAGTATGCGAGGGGAGAACATGACCACTCTCGTGGCGGCACTGAAAATATTTTTGAAGTCGATTCCTCTTGGCTGCACATTCAACATCTGCTCTTTCGGGTCAAGTCATAAGTTCCTTTGGCATAAAAGCCAGATATACGATGAGAAAACGCTGCAGCAGGCGATCAAGTAAGTACCGGCTGTTTTTGAGATCATCACTTGACGATGTACATGACAGCGACCTGTCCAAACTACACAGACTTGTTCTGCAAAGTTTCTTTCGCAAATCAACACCATCCTTTTACTAATTTCTTCTCAGACATGTTCAGGATTTTGACGCCAGCTTCGGTGGAACAGAAACTCTTGCCGCCGTCGAGGCATGTGTCGAAGCCCGTAGCAAGGATGGCCCGACTGAGCTTATTTTGCTCACCGATGGTGACATATGGTCTCAGGACGAGCTTTTCAGCTATCTTTCCCGTGAAACTGAGAGTGGAGATATTCGCGTCTTCCCCTTGGGTATTGGTGGAGGGGTATCGAGTGCATTGATTGAGGGTGTCGCAAGGGCGGGGTGTGGCTTTGCTCAGATGGTCACAGACAACGAGAAGATGGATAGCAAGGTGGTTCGCATGGTAAGTATGAAAGGATAATTTGGTATACTAAACTGTGTGGCTAACATTTTCCACAGCTGAAGGGAGCACTTACTCCACATATCAAGGATTATCGTCTGGAGATCAAATATGAAGATGGTAGCGTCGAGAATGTCGCCGATGGCCTTCGCGTACACCTCGATCCCAAGGACTCCAAGGACTCAAGTGACAAAACAGAAACCAAGCCTATATCATTGTACGACCCTGGTTTTAAAGAAGAGCACCCTAAGGAAGGCGAGTCAAAGGACGTTTTCGCAGGTCTTCCGGATGTCCAGCGTCCAAGTCTCCTGCAAACGCCTCACAATATTCCTTCTTTAGTTCCCTTCCATCGTACTTGCGTATACTTGCTCATTGCGCCCGAATCCTCGCACTTAAAGCTCAAGAGTGTGTTCCTAAGAGGCACCTCCCCACAAGGTCCTCTCGAGCTCGAAATTCCAGTCGAGTCGCGCAAGGATGCCGACGACATGATCCACCAGCTCGCTGCACGAAAAGCAACCCAAGAGCTTGAGGAAGGCCGAGGCTGGATCTCAGGTGCTACCATCGATGACACTGGTGTGCTGATCAAGGAAAAGCATCCAAGCATGTATGCTCTGCTCCAAAGACGCGAAGCCGTACGTTTTGGAGTTGAATTCCAGGTTGGAGGGAAATACTGCTCCTTCGTAGCAGTTGAAGCAAATAAATCCACTATTGCTGAGATGCGCCAGAAAGCTCTGCAAGCAACGATTGACAGAGATGTTGCTAGCAAAGACGAAGAAGAAGAAAGTGAAGATTGGGACATGATCGATGAGGGTATGTCTTTAAACCCCCCAATTCAATTCTGGCTGGAAAATCTAACAACACATCTTATCAGAAGCTCCATTAAGTCAATCTCGGTCGCTCCACTCAACACCGCACTCAAGGCAAATAGCCGGAGCCATGCTCAGTAACTCAATTCGTAAATCAGGCCCAATATCCTATGGCAACGCGGCTGCCATGGGCGGCATAGGCGATAGAAGCTTGAGTCATAGAAGCCTAGGTCGTAGAAGCGGCGGTAGAGGCGGCGCGGCCGCCATGGGCTACTTCAAGCCCCTTCCCGCATCCGCAAGCCAGTCGAGAAGTCGAGGCGGCTTCTGCAACTTCAGTGCGGAAGAAGAAAAAGAGCAAGAGGACGATGACTCGGACGAGGACATGGGATGTGGACTTTTTGATGACGATGAACCTAGTGCTGGTACGTTTTCCACATACACACATATATATACACCCTCCCTACTTTACCCACCCCCTTTCCTACACACATAAATGAGTTCTACATTACTAACTCAATCGATAATTAGCACCACCCTCCATCATCGACCCCGGAAAATTCCTCCAGCGTCTAATCGCGCAGCAATCCTTCTCCGGCACTTGGCCATCTATCCCGGGTCTTCCGTGCAGGGAAATGGGCATCAACGTTGCGGAGGCGATGGAAGTGGCGCAGAGACTCGTTGACGATGGAGTAGCAAAAGACGTGAGCGTGGCGGAACAGTATGTAGCTACGGCTGCGGTGATTAGCTTTTTGGAGAAGAAGATGGCGAATGAGGAGGACACGTGGGAGTTGGTTGTTGAGAAGGCGAGGACGTGGCTGGAGGATACGGTTGATGATGCGTATCTTGACAGGGTGTTGGTGGCTGGTAAGAGTATTGTGGGTGCTTGATGGGCATTTCTGTATGGTGAAGAGGACGGGGTTTGGAGGAGGAAGACTCGGTTTTCATTGTTTGCCTAGGAATCATAGGGTTTAATGAAGTAGTGATATTGCTAGATACGAACTTTTTTTGTGCCTTTATTTCAACAAAACATCACTCGAGTCGTCCACAGTAATCACCATCGCCAGAAAAAGCAAAAATTGTCAAGAAAATACAAGAATATTTTTGGTTCTCTGACGGATCCACGATGCATAACTCCACTGTACAAGAAATATTTCCACTGCCTATTCGTACACCCACACATGCGCAAACTGGAAAATGAAAAAAAAAACACCACACAGCCCCAGAACCCTAACAATACCAACTATTTTCATCCATTTCTGGATTACATGACGGGCGTGACGAAGGCTCCGAAGCACGTCGACCGGCTCGCCCAGGAGCAATGCGATTGAGTAGTGAAATCTCCACGTTGCTTAGAATTCCTGTTCAAAATAAAAACGCATTAACAACATGCCTCAGAGACGTGCAGACGATTAATTGTCTCCAAGCAGGGGCTGTGATTCATGGCCATCTCCGGGGCCGCCCTTCTTCTTCTTACCACGCTTCTTCCTCCTCTTCTTGTTTCCACCCTTGCCGCCCGCGTGTGAGGATTCAGCTTCCGAGTGCTTACTATCCTCTTGACCGTTTGACCCGCTGGTGGTGGCTTTATCATCTGTGTCACTAGAGCTGGTAGTCTCTAGAACAATCTTCTTGATACCGTTGACGTCGACAACGTTCTCGGAGATGCTGCCACTGCGAGCGGTATGGCGTCTAACAGGACTGTGTGCGGGTGTGGGAACCGTTCGAAGGGAGGCAATAGTGCTGACGGATCGGGATCGGCCTCGGCGTCCGTTTTCGCTAGTGGCACTCTTGGATAACAAATGCGAAGTCTCGTTGTCAGCTGCTTTACTCTTGGGGGAGGTATTCTCAAGGTCATGATCCCGCGCTCCTGATCGTCCAGATCGTCCAGATCTCCAAGACATGCGGTCACCACTTGGTGCCATAGTGCCATATCCCACAGCCACGCTGTGAACTCCATCGCTAGCCTCACGCCCTGCAGATGACAATAGGCCTTCACCAACTCCGCCTTCAGGAGCATGCGAATTTTGTGTAATCACACCCTCGGTTGGTGCTGGCTCATGAGATGCCTGGCTATCTTCTGGTATCGTCTTTGGAATGTCAGGGCCGGTCAGGTTAGTCGGGGCGGGCTTGATCTTGACAGTGTTGATGCGCGTTTGTTTGGGCCGGGTAGCAGCGTTCGAAGGACCAAGATGCTTGAGATGCTCGATTACGGCAGGGTCGTCACTGCGGAGAGGCGACATGCCTGCCTTGCTACCGCTGCTACGACGTCGAAGCATGAAAGAAGGTTTTGGGTGGCCGTCAGGCATGTCTGGTAGCGATTTGTTACGTGGCGCGGGTGCTTCGCTCTCTGTTTCGGTATCGGTGACAGGTGCTTCTGAGAGCTTGCGCGAGGCGTCGCTGACAATCTTTCCTCGGGGAACACGAGCGCGTGGGGCAGGTGCCATGCGGCGTATGGCCTTGTGGACATCGATGAAGACATCTGACTCGTCAATGATTTCCCTACTGCTGTCAGTTCGTGCTCGATATTCTACGGTAGGCAATGACTTACTCGCCAATGAGCTCTTCAATGACGTCTTCGAGAGTGACGACACCAACGGCACCGCGAGCTTCAGCGGGGTATTCAGAAACCAAGACCATGTGAGACTTGCCCTCTTGGAAGAAATTAAGAATGTCCAGGCAGCTTGTCTCGGGCCGCGTCTCCGGGAGGGTAGCGAGAGCGAAGTCGCGGACGCGCAGTGCATCCTCGGGGTCGTAAGTGATGAGCATCTTGACAAGCAACATGCCCACAAAGTTGTTTTCGTTCTCAGGGGTATGGATTGGGATGCGCGAGTATCCTGCGGAGAGAATGCTATCCATCATCCTTTCATCGAGGACAGTATCAGATGACATGGTGAAGACATCCTTCATTGGCGTCATGATGTTACCCACGGCCTTGGCCTTGAGGTCCAAGACTGCGGTGATGATGGTAACTTCGTCTTCGTTGAGGCGTTCATGCTCAAGTCCGAGAGACTGGTGCAGGCTGACTAAGGTCTTCAACCCTCCCTTCTTGTAAACGGTGCCGTGGTCCTCGCCGAGGAGGTAATCGAGGAGTTTAGCTGTAGGCCAGGCAACAATTCCCATGATGTACATGAGACCGAGGACAATAGGGGACATGGCGGCGCCAATGGGCAATCCGTAGCGAACGCATATCGACTGGGGTACGACCTCACCGAAGATGACTGACGCGTGTCAGATGTGGACGACAAGCAATAGAGTGGAGTATACATACCGATGAGCACAGTGGAACTAACAACTGCAGGCCATCCTCCGCCAAGGGACCTGTCGAGAACGATAGGAAGCGTTTCGTTTGTAATGACGTTACTCAAAAGCAACGTCACCAGGACCCAGTGCTTGCCTCGCTCGAGAAGCTTGAGTACCCTTTTTGCGTTCTTACGCTCGTGTTTCTCACCAGATGAAGCAAGGACCTGAAGGTAGATTTCGTCCTGGCCCATCAAGCTAAGTGGGAGCTGTTAGCAAGATGACGCACGACAGGGGAGCTCTATTCAACTTACGCGATGGTCAGACCCGCGAAGACACCACCGGCCAAAACCAGCGCGACAGCAATGCCCAAAAACAACCAGAGCTGAGGGTCATCGCCATCTTTTGGGAGGTCGTCGTCGGCCTCTCTCAAAGCGCTGAGAGCGCCGCCAAATGGCATGGGAAGCGCGGCGACCATTGGCGCGAAGGCATGACATAGGCCAATGAAGGCGAGGCGTAGGGTGGGCAGAGACGAGCCATTGGGGACGCGGGGACGAGAAGCGCTGAGTGCCATGAGGGCAGCTAGCAAAATGCAAGCACCGTGGTGCGGGGAGATGCAGACGGCGTCTGTATAAAGAGCAGCGAGACGTAGAGGGCGAAATAACGATGCGGAAATAGCGGCACGGTCGGCCCGTGCTTGTCTGGCTGCCGCTAGGCCAGAAGCTGCAAGTGATTGAGCGCCCAGCTTTTTCCCCAACAAAACAGAGCATCGCTCCCCATGGTGACAGTATGCAGCCAAGGTCCAAGTGCTGGGCAAATCCTTTTGCACCGTCTCGAACCTTGATCCTTCGTGACGAGTGCTCTGATACTTCATACTATTTACTGTCTTTGCAGCCCCGCGCGCAGGAACCAGCCTACATACAAAGTGACGGACGATAGCCGAGGCGGCTGCTGCAAGAGACGTGCCCTTAGTCACGTCTCCACCGTGCCAACGGTCTGGGAACCAACGGCGTCATTGTACATTTTTATATGGGGTGCGGCATTTTGGTGTGCCAAGGGCTGGTCGTGCCGGCTGGCGTCATCCGATGTGGCTTCATCCGATGTGGCTTCACGGTGGCTTGCCATTCCTTACGTGATCAAGTCATCACGTGCTGCTTCTCTCTCTCGACACAGAGAGCCGCCGTTAGCCGCTTCGTTAACCGTCGGCTCCTCTGTCTCTGTCTACGCCCACCATGACCTCTATTCATGTATCTTTTCAAAGCAGCTGCTGTTGCTGTTGGGTAGACGCATTGCTTTCCATCACAGACAAATAATGGCTTCAAAAACACCATCCCCTCGCACATTGTCCCACTACCTGCTGCGGCGCCAAACACTGCTTCGCCCTCGCTGTCACACCCGCATTCCCAACAGGCCATACTCTGCCGCTGCACCTGGTGCACGCCTCAACGGCACCGTCGAGTACGACACCACCCCGATTCTCAATCACACTGCCAAGTCGACCCTCTCCAACCCCGAGCTGCCTGCAGAGATACGGAATGGCCAGACAAAGCGCATCAACCTGTATACTGCAATCAACGAGGCCCTGCGACATGCATTGCAGACAGATGAAAGAGTCCTGGTCTTTGGAGAAGATGTCCAGTTTGGCGGTGTCTTCCGGTGTACAATGAACTTGGCTGGCGATTTTGGCACAGAGCGCGTCTTCAACACACCACTGAGCGAACAAGGACTAGTCGGCTTTGCCATTGGAGCCGCTGCCGAGGGCATGAAGCCTGTCGCAGAGGTCCAATTCGCCGACTATGTCTTCCCCGCATTCGACCAAATCCACAATGAAGCCGCCAAGTACAGATATCGATCAGGTAGCACTGGCGTCAACTGCGGTGGTTTGGTTATACGCATGCCAACTGGAAGTGTCGGACACGGTGCTCTGTATGACGCTACTCAGGATTGTCCTGAAAATATGCTAACACATCATTCAGCTATCACACACAATCACCAGAAGCTCTCTTCACCCATACGCCTGGTCTACGCGTTGTAATACCCCGCTCGCCCGTACAAGCAAAGGGCCTTCTCCTTTCGGCCATCCAATGCCCAGACCCCGTCATTTTTATGGAACCCAAGATACTCTATCGTGCCGCTGTTGAGCAGGTCCCAGTGGATGCGTACCATCTTCCTCTCGACAAGGCGGAAGTTCTCAAGACCGGCAAGGATCTGACAATCATATCCTACGGCACCCCACTATACACATGTTCGGCCGCCATAACAGCCGCTGAGAAGGACTTTGGATGCAGTGTAGAGCTGATTGACCTCCGGACCATCTACCCTTGGGACCGGGAAACTGTACTAGAAAGCGTCAAGAAGACTGGTAGAGCAGTCGTAGTGCACGAAAGCATGATGAATGCCGGCGTTGGCGCAGAGGTTGCTGCGACCATTCAAGAAAAGGCTTTCCTAAGACTAGAGGCTCCAGTCAAGAGAGTGACAGGTTGGGCTACCCATACAGGTCTCATGTTTGAGCAGTTTGTTATTCCCGATGTTACAAGTAGGTCAACAGATTTCCCCAATCACTTATCTTATGCTGATTTGATCAGGGGTGTACGACGCCATCAAGAAGACATTAGATTACTAAACGAAGATACGATAGATAGCGCATTCAAAATAAATATTTTACGACTTTCACAAGCAACTAGAGTTGTCGTTTATTTCATGTCTTTGTCGAGCGTAATCTCAATGCCCCGCATCGTCGGTAGCTTCCTTGCCATGTGGTTATTATGCAGAATATCAGTGACAAGCTTTCCCGAACCTGTTTTGCAATCCACGTGTTTGTAGCGTGATACTCCACACGTGAGATCGTCATTATTTCATCGGTATACTTACCCTACTCAACATAAGCTTACACTTTCCCCAGATTTTCGCTTCCCTCTAGCGGCGGGAGTCCCTTGCGCTAAATCACTAAGCTCCACCAGATCCTCTCGCGCAAACGTCATGACTTTTTACATTTAGTCCGGAGTAGAACCAGTCGATGGGAGCAACAACGTCACAGCTGTCATAGCTCCTAGGTGTCTGCGCTACTGTTGAATCTATGTCACTGAGAATTTTTTGACGAAGTTCTTTCTCTCCTACTTTCCTACACACAACATTCACATTAAGCTTTTCAAGTCGTAAAACGACACCCAGTGTTAGGAAAAGCTCATACAGCAAAATGGCCAGCCGAATCTTTACACCCATGCTTCGCCAGGCTCTCCGCATCTCACAGCGAAACGTTGTCGCAGCACCATGCCGTCGTTTTCTGAACACTGAGACAGCACCTCACCTCTACTCTGCGCGCGCCAAAGTTGTTGGAGCACGGACAGGGTACGCCAGGAATTTCTCAAGTTTATGCATAGCACCGAAAGAATTGAAACTTACAAGATTACTCCAGCCATGTCGACGGTGAAAACCTCAAAGTGGAATTGACAATGGCCAAGGCTCTCGGTGGGGCAGGCGACAAGGGAAAAACCAATCCCGAAGAGCTCTTCGCTGCGGGATATGTACGTCCTTCTACATGCCCCATATCTACCATTGGAGTTTCCCTGCTAATTGAATATATTAGGGTGCATGCTTCCAATCCGCAATGAATGCTTCCGCGGCCTCGCTCGGCATCAAGATGCCCACCACGCCTGAAGACTCTATTGTAGAATCGACAGTCGAGCTTGTTGGCAGCATGAAGGAACTCGACCTAGGGCTGCGTGTCAACTTGCTAATCAAAGTACGAGGTCTCTCTGAGCAGGAACTAGAGAAAGTAGTCAACAAGGCAAGAGAAGTGTGCCCGTACAGCAGGGCAACACAGGGAAATGTTCATACGACTATAAAGTGCGAGACTATGTAGATTTTGCATCAGCATTTCATATACATACATATACATTGCTGCTCAATATGATAGACACCGCAATACCAGAAGCTACAACCGTGCATCTTTCTCAACCTCAACAACAGCCGCCAACGTTCCCTCGCCCACATCCTCCCCGTCCTCAACTTCCAACACCCAACTCACCCGTCCGCGTCGATGACTCCGAACCTCGAGCTCCATCTTCATCTGCTGCACCACACAAATCACATCCCCTTCCTTAACCACATCCCCCTCATCCACCAGCACCTCGACCAGCTTCCCAGGAAAAGGAATAATAACATGCGACGCATCCGCCACATTCCCCCTCCGATGCTGTGCCGTCGCCGCCGCCGCACTTGCAGACGTAGCCGCCAGCGTAATCGTATACGGCACTGCCTTTGGTCCCTCCGCCCCCGCCGTAGTAAACAACACATCCGCCATCAGCTCAGCCGGGAAATCATTCCTTAGCACACGCGTGATTTCCAAATGACTCTGCACTGCATTTTTCTCGTCCTTAGCCATCAACCCAAGCGCCCACGCATCTCCCTTCCTAAATAGCGTATTCGGCGCAGCTACAGCCCCGTTTACTGCTCCCGCCGCCGCTGCAGTTCCCGCATCAAGTCCATTCTCTTGCACCTTGGAAGCGAAGACTAGACTTTGCTGCAGTAGCTCCGCTTGTCGACTTTCCAACCACTGCGTATCGCATTGTCCAGCGAGGAAATCCGGATGCGCCACTATCGCCTTGAGCATATCGATATTCGTCTTTACACCCGCAATGAACGTTTCATCTAGCGCTCTCTGCGCCTTTCTCACCGCATCCGCCCACGATGACGCTGTAACGACGACTTTGGCTATCAGACTGTCGAAGTCGCTGCTTACGATGCTGGGGCGGTTGGCGAGCAGATGCGTATCGATTCTTATACCGTTTCCGGCTGGAAAGGTGAAGGAAGGGATTTTGCCGATGGACAGAGACCAGTTGGATTGCGTGTTTTCGGCTGTGATGCGGAGTTGGATTGAGTGCGCGGTGGGGGGTGTGGAGGGGGAGCGCGGGGGAAGGGGTAAACCGCAGGAGGAGAGTGTGGCGCCTTGGGAGAGGAGGAGTTGCGACTTTACGATGTCGGTGGTTGAGAGAGCCTCGGTGATTGTGTGTTCGACTTGGAGGCGTGGGTTTACTTCGAGGAAGTAGTAGAGTTGGGTAGTGGGGTGGACGAGGAATTCGAAGGTGCCGAGGGAGAAGTAGGATATCTTTGCAAAATGTTAGTCTTGGGTATTGATGGGTTGAAGCATTTGGGGGAACGAACATGTCGAGCCATTTTCAGGGCATCTTCGATTATTTTTGCTATAAGAGAGCGGTTAGGGACGAGGCTGGGGGCGAATTCGATGACTTTTTGATAGCGGCGTTGGATGCTGCATTCGCGCTCCCAGAGGTGCGTTACGTTTCCTGCACCGTCGCCAATGATTTGGACTTCGACGTGGCGGAAGCCGTCTACTGCTGCTTTTTCGGCGAAGACGCTCTTCGAAGGGCTCTCTTCAACTGCTCGTTTCACCGAGGAAGCGAGTTCCTCTTCATTGCGAATCAGTCTGATACCACGACCACCACCTCCGTCTACAGCCTTGACCATAACAGGATAACCAACTCTTGCGGCAAACCGCTGGATATCTTCGACTTTGTTGGTGGGTTTCTCGAGTGCTGGAGATATCGGGACGTTGCC